TGAGACATTTACCTTTTTGTAGCAGGCTTTACTCCAGCCTCATTACATATTTGCTCTGATCATCAGTCCTATTTGCAACTTTCAACTGTCTCTATGTTCTTTATCAGAGGAGCTTGTATCAGGCAATACCTGGAGTGTCTCCATTAATCCAAATTTTAAAAACCAGTAACTGAAACAAATCAGTATTTGTGCACTGACTGGAAAGAAACCCCTGCAGACTCACCATGACTGAAAATGTCTTTCCGTGTCTATACGACTCCCTCCTCTGTTCTTCTCTAAAAAAAGAAGGGTCAAAGAAAAATGCTGGCAGCCCAGTGAAATCTTTGAAGACACAGTGTGCTTTCAGTTATGAGAGGATGGAAAAATGAGAACCCTGGAGATCTTTTGGGAACATTAGGCTTTATTAATCAGGAATGTACTTGCCACATACCAACATTCCCAAACGGTACACTGAATCAGAGAGATGCCAGGGAGTAACAGAACCCATCCAGCTTGGTCATCTGTCTTATGGGAAGTCCCAGCACACTCTGGGAGGTGGTTTTTCAAGCCATTCCTTAAAATTAAGAAATCTGCCCTGCTTCCATAGTACCTATAGGTTGTGTGTTCCAGCACTTTACAACGTATACAGTCACAACGTAGCTCCTATTATCTAACTTGGCAATTTTCACTGCTCATTGAACTGATTTCTTTAGGTCTTTCTCCCAGTGGACATGAAGAACAATTAATCACTGTGCTCTTGATTATAAATTTTCACTCACTAGATTTTTTTTTTAATATATTCTCCTTAAGGTACAAAAAAAGAAGCATTTTCAGAAGCATATAATGCCAGGTAGGGCTCCTACATATCCTCTTGCCCCTGGGTCAGATAACGACCAACCAGTTTCTGCTTTCTCCACAATGCTAACTCTAGGACAATTTCTGCCTTGATAAACATTTTTGACCTCTCCACATTTCCACTGGGGTTCCACAGGTAGAAATCAGGGCAGAATTTATCCCCCTGAGTTTCTGGATTAATGCCTTGGAAAAGGAAGGGGAAAAGGCAAAATTAATTCTCTTGGTTAGTGCTAACACTATTCCTCAGGGATAGCTGGCCCCAAGACATTGATCTTTGTTCAAAGCAAGAACACTTCTATACTCATTTCACATTTCCAACACAGCTTCTGCAAGCCAATATCTGTATTAAAAAAAGGACTTAAACTCATGAGAGTCTACATTTTGTCAGAGGACCAGGAGCTGGGGATGGACTCAAAGCCCATCTTAGACCTGAAATTCTAGCTAGAACAGCAAGTTATAGGAGGAAAGGACTGGTCCCAAATCCATCAAGAATTGTGAGGATTCTTGCACTGTAAAGAACATGTAGTGCTTGTTTGTTGCTTCAAAACTCTTCCTTCATCTAAAAGCAGTGCTGTGATGGACGAAGGCCTTCCCAGCCCTGACATCCTGACGCTACACATGCAGCCTGCACTTTGGGATGCCAGCTTACTGTGTCACATTGGCTTGGGTTCTGCCTCTTCCTTTCCTTATGCCTGCAAGCTCAATTGAACTTATGAAAATTCAAACTGTCTTCTGTCTGTTTCATGCATCATCAGCAAACAATCACTAGACAAAATGAATTTGCTCTCTGTAATTTGGAGGTTACACAAATGCCTCTGCTGTATAATGCAAAAGGAAAAAAAAAAAGGAATAAAGTTTGGTATGCAAGGTTAACTCAGCATGGAGGGAAGTAGCAAAGAAACAGAGAGAGAACATGAACAATAAAACAATCAAAAGTGGGGAGAGTGACATGAGAAATACTTCTCTAAATTGGAGTTGGCCTTGCTACTTTTGAGTGATGGGATTGAACAAAGGTACAAGGAAGTTGTGAAAGATCACCCCCAAGAGTGGCTGTATCACCATCCCTCATGTTTTGTCTACACAACATACTTATTAATAATAACAGTGGTTACTATTTATCCCCTCAGAGCTCCGCAAACACAAATTCACAAATGCAATAATGTTTACAGAGCTGTATCAGTTTGAACAAGATTGAAAGAATGATCTGCTGCACAAGGCACAATGAGGTTAAATGACTTGTCCAATGCCACTCATTGATCCAGTATCCATTAAGATTAGAACACCAGGTCTCTTGGTCACTGATAAGATCAGGCCTTGTAAAACTGAAACCTTGACAAACCTACCTCTTTTTTAACAAAAATAACATGTCATATACTCCTTATTGCCCTCAGCCCATGAAAACGTAGCTAAAACTATTGCTTTGAAAGCACATCTTTTTCTTCCACACACAATATGTGTGCTGTCATTGTCTCGTTCCAAACTCATGCAGACACTGAGTATGAGTAGAGGTACCTCCTCATGTTTGACTTAATCCTATTTGGGGTTAGTTGCAAACAGCAAAGTACTAACTTTTAACTTTCCTTAAAGTTAAGTATTTGAGTAGTCCCACTAACTCAATAGATCTATTTGCCTATCAACCCACATGACTTTAGTTCAGAGAACCCAACATAGCAAGAATCCAGCCCACAGACCTTTTGTATTAGGAGAATATCAGTGCCACATTCAGCAAGTGGAGCTTTTCATGCAACTGTCTGAGAGATGTTCAGGTGATGTCTAATGCCATGTACCAGTAATTTTTTATTAGACAGAATTTGGCTTATATTAATCACTCACTTTAGGGACACCCCTACCCTTAAGCAAGGTTTCCACTCATTAACTAAACACATAAATTACAAAACTACCAGGATATGGCTCGCCTTTTCTCTTCGCTGTTTTTGGGTTAACACAGGAAAGCCCAAATGGCAAGTTCACCTTTTTAAGGACCTCACAATTAGGATCTCACCTGATTACAGCAAACATATAGGAAACAAATCCTTAAAGCATACCTTCCTCTATAAAAAGTGCCACTGCTTTTATTGTGTGATGCAACTATTTACATGGACACGAGGTATAGCAAGAACCACATCCTCACATCCTCACTTTACAGGATATATGTGCTTATGTAAAACTTTCCTCACCTTGTTCTTTTGTATTCCAGAGACAGGCTATGCCAAGGCTACAGAACTTAGAAGCAGCTACAAGTTTAAAAGTGGAAGGGTTTGTGGTTTTTTGTTGTAGTTGTAGTTTTTGTTTTGTTTGTGGTTTTTTAAGGTATTATCACAAGAAACTCAAGGATTAAAAATGTGGCCCTTCACGGAATAGAAAGAAGACCTAGGCAGAACAGTCTTAGGAGTCATGATCCCACACTCCATTCCCAGTCTGACTACTGATTTTCTTGGACCTTGAAAAAGCTGCTCAACATCTCTGTGTGGATGCACTTGACACTTCTGACAAAAAAAGGAAATGAAAAATATTTCCTAAACATGAGTTTTACACTTGTGTATTTATTTCCTCTTTAAAATCTAGAGTTTCATATAATGGAAAAAAGCTCATCCCAGCCAGCACCAATTGCTACTCTTATTTTGTCTTGGGCTGTCCATGCAGGACTTAGTGACCATCTGGATCCGAAGGATTCAAAGAACTTGCCTCTTACACTGCTGCTGCATTTTGGAAAGAGAATTACTCCTGCTTTCCAACAAAAATTTTTCTGGTTGTTCACACTAAATTGCAAGACAAGCATGAAATTTGGTACTCAGAGATTTAGAAGAGCTCCCCTATTTTTCCCTGAGCACCTTCCTTTAAATTGCTGCTGGACCCAGCAAATCCATGAGAGTTTTCAACTTGGCTCACCAGTGTAATTGAAAGGTTAACCTCTGGTGGCCAAGGAAGCTGCTCACATTCAGCAACGAAGAGCAGAAAATGTTAAATACCATTCACTGGCCACAGCCTGCAGTTAACACACAATATTTAAACAACACAATGGCATGGCCCTTGCCAGTAATGTAAAAACACAGTGGAGTAGAGCCAGAATGGCACAATCTGCCTGTCTGAGTCATGCTTGGCGCTGTGTGCTGGAGGGGCAGGCTTCAGCTGCCCACAGTGTAACTGTACCCTCCAGCTCAGTTACAATGAAACATTAAAATATATTAAAAAAAGGGGGTGGTGGTAAAGGCATGATAAATCCCCTCTAATAGTTAAAATATTTTAAAACTGAAGTACAAAAGTACTACTTTGGAAGGAGTCTCTGGATTTCATTACAGAATGCACATTTTGATCTTAAACAAGAAAACAAACTGACTTTGCTTTGTAATATTCCGCAGCTTTGCACTGTTCAATTGAAATTGATCTTTTTCCTTCTTTCTACAAGCTTCTGGATTTTTTTCATATATTATTTAATTTGCTTAAGAGTATCTGAATCTGCTATATTTTCCAATCCTCTTTTGCTTGTCTGTTGTTCAGTCACTGAAGTTCCAAATCTTAATTATTAACCCAAATACATTCAATAAACAGATTCTAAATAAGGGTGGATCAGAGTGATGTGCAATCTGACTTGCATTTATGGAATAACTATGCCCTTAGAAAAAGATTCCTTTCTTGATGAGACGTAGATGTTATTTTGACTGTTTTGTTGTGTCACAGCAGAGATGAATTAGGCATTTCTCCCTTCATCTGCACCCTAAAGCAGCTGAAGTCCCCTGTGATGTCATCAGAAAGTTGTTTGTTTTTTTCTCATACAAAGGAGAAGAATTTGTTACGACATCATGAGAAGAGAATAAACTGAGTTTTGTGCTATAAGGAATCTTCTGCTACTTTCTGTTATCTCTGCACCAACGTGCAGAAATCCTCACTGACAAAGCGACAGCAACTGTAAATCAACAAACAGAGATGCACAGTATTCCTAATACTATTCAAAACAAAGCAGGAAAGAATGATCTATTCAGTGCTCTGAAATTAAAGATCTGCAAGATGTAAGTTCCTTTTTAATTTTTAAATAAAACACCCTTTGAACTTCTAAATCCCATTCAAGGGGACTCTGACCTTTATCCAAGACCAGCTACTGTGCTAACACTTTGGATGCATATGGAGGAAAAATACGGACAAAAGGTACCGGAAAAGCTTTTACTTACAGGAATGCAGTGTGGCTTAATCTTTTTGTTTTTAAGGTGCAGTGATTTCAGCATCTACAATGTAACTTCAGGCAGTCTGAAAAGAAACAGGTTAAAATCTCTTTCAGTTATAATTGGTATTTCAGATTTAATTAAAAATTAAACTTTCATAATGTTTCACCATCCAAAGCAATGCATTATCAGTCAAGCGTAGCCTTTTTTTTTTTTGTTAAAAGAAGCTCTTCCCAGAGTAGTTTGCAATGAAAGAAAAAGGGAAAAAGGCAATTGAGAGTAGCAAAATATATTTCTTCAGCAAAAGATCTCTGAATAATTTGGAAAGAAGCCTTCTGCCACTTAATTTTAACAATCAACCTTATACTAATTAAAAAAAAAAAGCCCACAATTAAAAAAGACAGAAAAACACCACCACATACCAAAGACTATGAGGATAAAAATGTTAATTTCAGCAAAACAAGGACATTACTAGGACCAGAACATACGCACCAAAAGGGAAAATATGGTTTTACATAATGCCAGCCAACAACATTTTTTACAAATTCGTTCTACAGCATGCAGCACTTTCAGACTGTTGCATGGAGGAGCAGAGAAAGACAAGTTCAAAAAGAGGAAAGCTGTTTTTGAAGTGTACAAGGCAAAAGGTCCCTTGCAACCTTTTGTTAAGGGATATGAAATAGCTCATCTATAAAACTGCATGGTTTCTTATCATGTAAAATAAATGTCACATTACTGTGCAAAACAGATGATTAAGAAGTGATGGCTGCAGACACAGCATTTGAACAGATGCAAAAAAAATAATTTTTTTTTTCAAAATGCAATTGAAATAGTCGGAATGACAATAAAACTCCAGGGGTTGTACCATAAATATGAGTTTAAATGTTAGACTGGAGTTTAAAACCTGTGGTTTTAATTATATCTAATTATAAAGGCTCCAAAACCAGGAGAAATGAGAAAAACAAAAAAATATTAATAATAAATTAAAACAATTTTGCAATAAGTTGTCAGGATTTGGCCTCGTAATAACAAACCATACAGCAATATACACAGACATACAATGTACCAATGACTCATTAAAGGAACAAATCAAAACTTCATTAAATTTTATTTTTAAAAGGTGACAGCAGAACTTGCCTAATTTACCCCATTCAAAGTCACAGCTATTTCTCCTCACCAGCAGCACACTCACAGAGATGGTCAAATAAATCCCGGATGCAAATCTAATACTGTTTTTAAATGTACCATGGGCTGGGAGCAATTCCTAAGTCTAATTTTACTTTGTTCTCCCATAAGTAAAAATCCAATTCCTCAGACGTCAGTGTTTTATGAGGCTTCTCAATCCATCCTCATGGATGTTTAAAATAAAACACACCGTGTCAGACAATACATTGTCACACAAACATGTTCATACACACACCAATACCACAAACAAAAATGAGCTCACAAACTTATTTGTAGGTTTAAGTTTTCCACTCTGTCAAGATCAGAGGTATCGAAGAGCAAGAGGCAAAGCAGAAAGCACGGAAGGGGATAGCACAGGAAGAATCAGAAACAATTCTTGAGCATTTGAATGAACAAGAGCCCCCTGATAGAGGCACTAAGATGATGCTGCCACAAGATAACCTTTACAGGCTTGGATGAAATTTTTCCTGAAGGAACCATCTGACACATGTGTTCCTCTTCCTTTAGACAACCTTATATCAAACAATTTTCCTTCTTTCTCCTGATTGACATCTAATAAGGTAGACAAACAGTGAAGAAATCCAGTCAAAAAATTGTTAAGTCCATCAGCAGCAGGCAACAACACAACTGCCACATTAGTGATAACAGTTTCGGCCTCTGAACTTCCATTTCTTTTACTTTCTTCCCCTTCCAAATTTACCCCTTTTCTGACATCTTCAGGACTGTAACACTGGCTTGCTGGCAGGGAAGGAGAGGGGCAGCAGTATTTAAAATCCAATGCTATTTCTTCTAATGAATGCAGGGAAAAACTGACCTCAACTGAGAAAACAAAGAGCATTCACTGAGGGTGAAATGTATCCCTGTGTAGAGAGCCAGCATAGAGACTGCACCACTGAAGCCCTATTGCGATGACCTAAATATGAATAAATTGGTGCATGGACTTCACCACAGCAAATTTTGTCCAAAATCCCTGTTTTCTTGTAGAGAATGAGGAAATACATAGCCCTTTCCTGTCAAAGCACTAAGGCATAGCATCTCCTTCTCATGCTGGGCACAATTCTGACAACTGCTCTTCAGTGTGTCTTCCTAGAAGTTTTAACCTGAAGTCTTTTCTGCTTTGCCCACGTTCTTCTGACTGGAAAGGGGAAGGAGGGAACACAACATTTGGCATTAGTCTGTAAGTCAGCCCGAGGGCAGAGTGCCTGCAGATCAAGTGGTCCCTCTCCTCAAGGCAGACATAATTAGCACACGCTGTGATTCTTCTAATACAAGAAATGGAGCATCGGAAAAAGCTCTCTGTGAGAGCTTGCCTTCCTGTGCACAGGAGAGGCACAACACTTGTGCTCAACACTTGTGGGGCAGGAGATCATGATTGTTGAGTGAAAGGGGTGCCCTAATCCCCTCGTGGAAAGAAAGAGACATGGCTCAAGAACAGTCAATGAACTTCTGCTTGAGAGAAGCCCAAGAGCTGGAATCGCAAGAATGGGGAGTATGGCAGGTCAGGAATGAGGCACAGGAGTAAACTGTTAACAACAGAGCAAGTGTTACCTCTTAGTAAAGGCTGTAAAAAAAAATTATCAGAAGGTAAACAGGCTTCACTTTGATTTCTTACAAGTCCTTCTGGCCATCAAGCTTATGCAGAGTCTGAAAACTTTGAGAGGAAAGCTACCAACTCTACAACGACTGAAATTCATTAGCAATATTCCACAACTTGCATGAACCCCTGGCTCTGTTTTGCCTGACTCATGTTTATGGTCAAATTCCCCACTTCCATAAGAATCAGATTCATTAAATCTAAAAATTAAAGAGAAGGAAAAAAAGTGTAATTTGTTATCGAGAAACATTTCAGAAGAAGTCAGCCTTCTGCAAACTCATAGCAATAAAAGAGTTCCATATCTGTAAGGCTTTGATTTTCCTTGAGTACCTTAAGTCAGCTGGAGCAGGTCAGTTAGAGTCATATACAGCTGATTAGTTACGAGGAAAAGGAAGACTAGAGGAGAATAAAGTAATACACTTTTTGATATCTTTAGAAATTTTTAGATATAAAAATTACAACCTCAGTCAATTCATCTTTTTCAAGTTCACTTCTTGAACTGGAAAGCAACACTGAAGCCACTGCCACAAGTAACTACTCAAAGAAGGTAAAATACTGATACTCACTTAAGAAAAAAAACTTCCTTGATAATATTAAGGAGCTCTTCTTCAACAACCAGAGAATGAGGGAAAGGGAGGGCACTGGATGAGAAATGGACACACACAAACAAAAACCAAAGCCCTTTACCTTCAAGAAAATATTTGAAAATACTTATGGGCCAGATAAGAGACCTCAATCTAACTTCAGAATCTAAATAATTATTTAGGATATGGCCCAGAATAATTGTGTCACAGAAATGAAAAAGGAAAGTCAATTGTACAGGCTTCTCATCTAACAACAAATACACAAACTCTGAAATTGGAACCAGTATAGACAGACCAGTACACTGCTCTGTTCAGGTTCATTGGTAGCAAAAAAAAGAGCAAATCTTATTACATATAGCATTATTTTACTACTTTTTTTAGGTGAAATCACTTTAGTTGGTATTAGTTCTCTATAAACAGCTTTATTTTTTTCAACAGTCCCTTGTCCTGACTGGACAGAATAAAAAAAAAAGAAAAATAAAGCAAAAAGTAATGCTAGTGCTTGAAAAATCCTCCCAAAATGTTTGAATTGGAACTCTTACCAGACTTTCAAAAATATGCAGGAATTTAGGTTATTTCCAGTTCTGCCTTCAAACTCATAGCCATTTGTGACTCAAACCAGAGTCACAGGGCTGCTGATGGGAGAAATCTGGGGGGGCTTTGTAATCTGGGAGAATGGGAGCAGAGGACAACCCATAGCACTGTGCTGAGATCAAGGGTTCCTCCCACTGCAGGACAACAGGAGATTGAAGGTTTCTTTGTCAAAATGGTAAATCTCCATCTGTTATTGGTTCACTGCAAAGATGAGCACCCACAGAGATTTTGTATTCCTCATGGCATTCATCATTTGTGTTTACTTTCCCAGTGAAGATGACATCCATTACAAATTTTAATTTCCAAACCATGGCTCTTTCAGCTGAAAAAGCATTTTAATCAGGAAGAAGGTGTATTTTTGGCTACAATTCACACACACCCCACATTACCCAACAGTATTTGAACTATTTCTGTTCAGGTATGATAAAACTTTACTTTGAGCTAAGACTGAGACTCCTTGAAATCTCAGTTTCAGAAAGTTAGACACAATCAACTGTATAAAAGCTGCAATGCATAATCCACTCTAATGGTCACCTGGAAATAGGTACTGGATGCAATTTCACCACAAGGGCCCTCAAACCTGTTAAAGTGTTGGATCCCTTAACAGCACAGTCCACTCCCCTCATTTATCCCTACTGCTAACAGAGTAAGCAACAAGCACTTGAGAAGCCCAGCTGTGAAAGCACATGAGAAGCTGAACTTCTCAACACACAGAAGAGTTGGTCTCTATAATTGCACTTTGGATCTGACCTGGACTTCTAATGTTTAAGAATTTAATGGGTAGTTCTTTAATACTTAGGTGGGACCCAGCATCCTTCTAAATACCTCTTGAAGCTTTCCTCCTACGCAGGGGCGATGATGGTAATCAAGTTGGCTGCTGAAAACCATGATATTCCTTATTCCAACTGTTTTCTTGCACAAGCTGTCCCTAGATCCTGTTTATGTTCCCAAGGAACAGGAACAGTGACAGCATGCAGCTTTCACGAGGCCTTGCCCAAACAATTCTTTCTCTAAAGACACAGTTTTTCTGTGAAGCAGCTCTGAAGCTGGTATTTGCTGAGCATCATTGGAATACAGCTTGAAGACTTTACTTATGCCCTTTACATGGTATCGTAGCAAATAAGCTTC